TAGAATACGAAATCATTGGTGAATGCCACAAATTCTCCTAAATCACTCGTACGCACAACTTAAGAACAAATCTGTGCGTACGAACGGTTCTTGCATGAGGCACATTGATCACATAAAAAGGGGTCATAAAAATTGGTGTTATGTTCAAAAACAACTATTAAGAACTAGAAATCATCACTGAACAATGACAGTTTTAATATGCACATTGATGCATCATATCATGTATAAGAATTAAATAAAGTTTAGACTGTCTGCAGTAAACGTTTAGGTTCAGAAGTTATGCATTTATAAAAGTCAAACCATTTGCTGTTGAACTGTGTGTCCTAAGTTTGGAGAAACGGACAAAATGGCTTCAGTGTTTCTGCATTTCCACTCAGAACTACATAATAATTCATTTAAAAGACTGACAGAAGAATATTATGGATATAAAATCTACACTCCTTTGATAATTCTGAGTTTGTGTTTTAAGCCTAAGTACAAAGCTAATCTTTGTGCGTACCTTCTCATATTCCTCCTCAGCAGGGTTGTATTTGCGGAGCCATTCTGCCAGAGGTTTGTCTTTAAAAGATCCAGTCACACCATATTCCACCTGAATCTTTCTCAGGGTGTCAGAGGATGGCACCAGCTCCACCATACCTAAACAAGACATTTTAATCAACACACGGCGAGCCAAAACATATAATCCTCCAACTCTTTATAGTGGGGCTGTGCTACGTTTCTGCAAACAAAAGCAGGAAAATTAAGATACTAACTGTAACTGTGCAAATATAAAAAATTGTGTCAACCTGTCTGCTCTTACATTAAAGATGGGCTCCTGTTACCTTTATCCTTGTCAGTGGAGATGCATTTAAAGTTGACCATACGGAGGTCCAGACCCTCCTGCAGCCAGATGCGATCCATGATGCGAATCATCTGAAGAGCCAACATGTCCTGCCTCAGATCTTCTCCCACCTGGAAGAAAAACAGACACGTTTAAGAGACAGAAAGCACAGAGTGGAAATAATTACTGGCTTTGAATTGATCCACCAGGGGGAGCCGTGTGCAGGCGAAGCTGCAGGGAAACCGTTACAACAAAGCCTGGGTGAACTTGATGACATCCCCTGGCCTTAAACTGATGGAGCGTGTTTGTGTTCGATACACAAGAAATGCAAGTGCAGGAAGTTCTTAGTAGTTTTCCATCACCTTAAACATGACATTGATCTCCTCTCCCAGAGGGTCTGCGTTGATCAGGGCCAGTTTGAGCGGAACTGCGTTGGAGCTGAAGAAGGAGCAGGCCTACGAAAACACAAGCAGGATTATTTTACACTGCACCCATCGTCCTGTCAGAAACACTTTACTTTTTGTTTCTTTTTTTATAATCAATTATGTATTTAAGCCAGAAAACATAATCATATAGTATTTTTTTTATTCTAAATGGAATCTATCAGATCAGATACTGTGATAAACTCACACTGATGTGGCTGTATGAAAGTGACACTTTTCTAATAGAGTTACAGAAAACACATCTATAAATCACTGGGAGTTCTATGTTTAATCACTAATTAAAATGTAACAGTGTTCTAAATGCCTGCAGGTCGATGAACCACAAAGAAAGCTAAAATATTACCTAGACACCAATAAATGTTTTCTGTTACCTCCTACTATTCCTCTTGAGCCAAGTAATAATAGCCTTATGTTACAAAGATACTATATACAAGTTATAATAAAGACTTAATGCCCAAAATTCAGCTAAATCAGCAATTCTTTTGTGTTTTTATATTGACAGTTAATGGGAAGAATTAAGAACAATCAGCCTTTTGTAAATTCAGATGTTTGTAGCGAGGAGACAGTTGTATTTACCTGAGCTCAATTATAAACAATAATTTAAAAAGGGGGGTATTATGTATTTTCTAGGCACATAGTTCAATTCAATACCATAAACAAATAACTGTTACCTTCAGTTGTTATAAAAGTGCTTTATATAGCAATACTTGACTGCACCATAGCCTATCTAAATGTCTTGAAATTGGCTTCTGTCTCTTTAAGAACCTCCTACCATTTCAGGCACTCCCACTTCAGCACATCTACACAACAATGCTTTATGTCGTTTACAACCTTTGGTAGATTTACGTTTTGCTGTAAAAACAAAAAGATGAAAAACAAGGAGTTCAGCTGCAAACTGAGCTCCAGGGAGGGGCTTTGTGTAAATAGGCGGAGCTTTGTACCAGCAAGTGTTTAGGCAGCTCCACATGGCTACCACAGGAGACTCAAGGATTTCTCAAACATGCATGAATGAGTCAAAGCATGAGTTTCTAATGAGGGAGATTTTAAAACATGATATAAAGCTAAAAAAAAAAAAAAAAAAACTCTATTTTGCACAATACCCCTCCCCCCTTTAAAAGCTGCAGTTTTTCTCTTGCCATTTATAACCTACCTTGATGTTGAGCTCTTTAGCCACCAGGCTGGGGCTAAGAGGCAGTCGGCAGCTGTTTCTGTGGAAAAAGTTCTGAACATTTTCAAGACCCTCCTGAAGCGCGACCTAAATGCAAACCAACACAAACAAAATAAACGTTAAGCATAAACAACAGCGACAACAACAAGTGCACGACAAAGTGGCACAAAAAAAAAAAAAAAAAACAGACTGACCTGACGTGCCGATCCACCAGCCTGTCGGACCCTCTCGGCTACGACTCCCAGCAGATTGACGAGCTGAGTCTGTTTGTCCAGCTCTGCTCTCAGCTTGCTTCCACACAGACACAGCAAGGCTCCCAGCACCTGCTCATAGCGCCGACCCCAGGCCGGATCCTGCACAGCGTCCTTCAGCAGCCTGCAGCCGTCACACACATCATAACTACATCCTTCTGTGTAACTCACACTTAATCTGATCAGAATAAAAACATGTTCATGATTGTTATGTCAGACTTTACAACAAATCCTAGTTTGTTTTATGAATTTATTCAATCAGGCAAGTTTTATGACAGATCTCTGTTTGAAGAATCAAAGATAAATGAGGGAAACAAGCTAACAGCTCTTGGGCATAAGGGGACAGGAGAAAATATTTCTAGCAGCCTTTTAGTGGACCTTTTTCATCACTTTTGCCCCTGCTAGATGTTTATTTATTATTATTTGATTCTCTGACAATGTTGAGCTTTGAGTTTTTTGGGTGCTAAAACTCTAGGGCTAATGATTATTTTAATAATCGATTAATCTGTCAATATTTTTTTTTCGATTGATCGATTAATCGGCCAAATCATTAAAACGTTTAATTACATAAATACAAGTAGGTATAAATTTATTTCATTCCTGTATAAATTAGGGATGCAAGTTATCGATTAATGAATTAATCTAAAGTTGATTTATCTTATAGTCTGACTAACAATTAATTGATAAGCAGCCATTTTCTTAAACACCAGAGTTTTCTCTTGAATCAAGAGGGTCTTTTCATGGCATGAAGTTTTTTATGAACTGCTGAATTAAAAAACAGAAGCACATTTTGCCAGCTGTATTAAATACTGACTGAAAAAAAAGTGTATTTCTCCTACATGAAACATAACAGAAATTTATTGGGTCGCTGAATGAGGAAAATAGATTAAAGAATAAAATTTGATTTTCAGAGGTAAAACTATTATTAATTTATTATAAGTAGAATTTATTTATATTTAACATTTTTTTTCTCTAATTCTTTACTTTTTACTTCCTTCTTGTTGGTTCTGTCTGACTGAAACAGA